ACCCCTGTGCCAAACTACTTCTACTAGAATATCCTAGGTACTTGCTACTCAAAGTGTGGTCTAAGACCAGTAGTGGCATCACTTGAGATCTTGTTAGAATTGCATAATCTTCAGTTCCACTCCAGATTTATTGAACCATAATCTGCATTTTAGCAAAATCCCCAGGTGATTCATATGGCCATTAAAATTTGGGAAGCATTGTCCTCAGTAATTAATTGATATTCCAGAGTAACACAGAGCAAGTGTTAGATGTGTCAGAATCCCTATTTGGTGATGTCCATCATTTCTTGGAATCCACCACACCATGATCTTCTTGGGTTAATTTGGGTAGTTTTGTTTGCTTCTTAGTTGTGAGTACTGCTCCCAGACTGGCCACAATCCCACAACCACCCTTTTGTTGTACTATGAGTTAGTTGCTTGTCTCTCTGCATTATTCTGAAAACTGATACTCACACTTAGCCGCCTCAAAATGGAAGATGCACAATGCCTTTGTTCCATGCAATGCCACATTCATTTTTCTCTGTGAAATGCTGTCTTCTCTCTACCTCCACAGCTGTGTTATGCTTGCAATGGAATAACTTCTGGAAAGAAACGTGGCTCACTTGAAAGCCAGAAAACTTGATTCTGAATCTCTGTGATATGGTCCTACTGTTGGAAATATAGTGGTCATAGGTTGGGTTTCCCAGGTATTAGACTCTGAGGGATTCAACATACGAATTTTGGTGGGACACCAACCTTCTATCCATAGCATCCTTCCTTGTGGAAAAGCAGCCCTATCTCCTCCTGATGACTAGGATCAATTATATACCACTAGGATATTAACTCCTTTCCTTGCCTGCTGGTCTCTTGTCATAAGAAGTCCAACATGACTGGGGGATAGCCAAAGCTTGAGGTTTGTTAGAACAGAAATTAGTCTTTACATTTATGATCAATTGACTTTTAACAAAGATGTCAAGGCAATCCAATGGGAGAAAAGATAGTCTTTTCAATAAATGGTGCTGAAACAATTGGTTAGTCATATGTCAAAAATGAATAAGACCCTTACCTCACACCATACAAAAAATCAACTCAAAATAGATCAGAGACCTAAACGTAAAACAGAAAACCATACAACTTATAGAAGAAAACATAGGAGAAAATCTTTGTGAACCTGGGCTAAGTAAAGATTTCTTAGGGGGCTGGTCCCGTGGCCGAGTGGTTAAGTTCGTGCACTCCACTGCAGGCGGCCCAGTGTTTCGTTGGTTCGAATCCTAGGCGCAGATGTGGCACTGCTCATCAAACCACGCTGAGGCAGCATCCCACATGCCACAACTAGAAGGACCCGCAATGAAGAATATACAACTACGTACTGGAGGGCTTTGGGGAGAAAAAGGAAAAGACAAATATCTTTAAAAAAAAAAAAAGATTTCTTAAACAAGACACCAAAATCCATTTTTAAAAATTGATAAATTGTACTACAAAATTGAAAACTTTTGTTTTTCAAATGACACCATAAAAAGTGAAAAAACAAAGAGGAAATACAAATTAAAAAGACTGAAAATATTTTCAAATTATATATACAATCACGTATTGCTTAATGATAGACGTATATCCTGAAAAATGTGTCATTATACAATTGTGTTGTTGTGTGAACACTGTAAAGTGTACTTACACAAACCGAAATAGTATAGCCTAGTGCACACCTAGGCTATATGGTACCAATCTTATGGGACCATCGCCACATGTGCCTTCCATCATTGACTGAAACATTGTTATGTGGCACATGCCTGTATGATAAAAGACTTGTATCCAGGTTACACAAAGAATTTTTACATGTGACTCAACAATAAAAAGACAAATAACCCAACTAAAATATCTTCACCAAAGAGGTATGTGAATGGCTAATAAGCACATGAAAAGATGCTCAACATTAGTAGCTATCAGGGAAATGCAAATTAAAACTACAGTGAGATACCACTACACATCCACTAAAAGAGCCATGTCGAAAAGACTGCTAACATCAAGTGTTGGCGAGGATGTGGAGAAACTGGAACTGTCATGCATTGCTTGTGGGAATTTAAAACGATACAGCCACTTTGGAAAACAGTTTAGCAGTTTCTTAGAGTGAAATACATTTGTACCATGCAACCCACCAATTCCACACAAAGTTGCGTACATAAATGTTCATAGCAGCATTATTCAAAATAGCCTCCGACTGGGAACAATCCACATGTCCATCAATGGGTGAACAGATAACCCCAATGTGGTACATCCTTATAACAGGATACTATTCCACAATAAAAAGGAGCAAACTACTGATGCATGTTACAACTGGATGACCCTCAAAAACATGGTAAGTGAAAGATGCCAGACACAGAAGACTATATATTGTATGGCTCCATTTATCTGAACTTTCTAGAAAAGGCAAATCTTTCTAGAAATAAATAGAGTAGTAGTTACTTGGGGTTGGAGTTGGGGACTGACTGCAAATGGGTATGAGAGAACTTTTTGAAATGTTGTAAATATTTTAAAATTGGTTTGTAGCGATAATTGCATGACTGTGCAGATTTATCAAAAATCATTGAATTGTATCCTACAACGGGTGAATTTTATGGTATGTAAGTTATACCTCGATAAAGTGCTAAAAATGTTTAATGGGACACTTTCTCTGTCCCCTGGTGGAAGCAACTCTCCTCTGGGATCCAGGACCCTTAGACCTGCAAAGCCTAGAGTTGCAGTGATGGAAAACACAAATTCCCCAATAGGTCACTGGAATTGATGGTAACCAGGGCTACTCTTGCTACCTCCCTTGAGTCCTGGACCATGTATTTTGCCTACTGGGTATACAGTACCATGAAACAGTCACTGATTCAGGGTACATATTGCATTCTGGAGGATGGTGCCCCACTTTTGCATAGTATTATCTCCAAGCTGGTACCTTAGTTGAGCTTTCAAAAGGCCGTACCTCATTCTCTTGGGCCAGCTACATACGGAAGGATCAGTGGGTCCCATGGTCATGATCCCACAGCTACATCCACTTTTGCTAAATAAGTTTCTTGGTATGATGAGATATTGTGCAGGATTTCATGTCATTAAATCGAACTCTTCATGAACTTGCTGGTGATGACATTGGCTAATGCCCTGCAGAAAGGAAAGGCAACCCATACTCAAAAGAGGTGTTGATTTTAGTCAAGGTGAATCACTGTTCCCTTCAGAATGGAAATAGTCTAATGCAATAACTTGCCAACAAGTGACTGATAAGTTTCTTCAAATGAGGGTTGGTCTCTGTTGCTGGCAGTTCGAACAACCAGCTGCTGAAGTAGCTCTATCAGCCTTTGTGGGTGAGAGCCCCTGCTGTTTAGTCCATAGACAGCCTCCTGCAGTCATGACTACTCTGTTCATTGTACTAATGATAGAGGTTGGATGACATCCATGAGTCATTCTATTTGGTTGTTGAACCTAGTGGGGAAGATGGAGGCTCTGAAGATGTTCCTAGCACATGCACAGCTAAGGAGGTGAGAGAAACCTAACTCACCTTCAAATACTGAAATACTGCTATAAGACATAGCATTGCTCTGTTCTCTTCAAGGAACTCTCCCACTAGAGAAAGGAAGCACAGATCCAGGGAAATTCACAGGTGGAGGTCACCTGAGCTATTTAGTACTCCCCCTTCACTGTGTGGATGAATATACCTGAGATTCTTCAAGCGCAGAGGACACACACGTGGTCACCCAGCTCTTTGTGGGAGGGCAGGGATTTGAACCTAGACCTCCTGTATCACATCAACTCCTGGACATGTTCCAAATTTGCAGGTGATAGAACCCACAGAAGGCAAAGCCACTGTAGCAGGAAGGGAGTAGTTGATTATAAGAAGCACTACATATTGAGCTCATAACAAATGTTTCAAAACTGATTTCTCTAAGACGTCTGCCATGCATGATAGCCAGGCACTCTGCGCACGGCACATGAAACAGAATATCTATTTTGTCAAGTTGGTAATCATATTAGATGTGATTCTTATTGACCCCTCAAAGAAAGCAACTTAATCTAGATTAGCGAAAAATAGAGTCTAGTATAAGAATGTGAGGGTGTCCTTTAGAAGTAAAACAGACCTGGCAGGAACGTGGCCAGGTCTAGGGAAAAATGGAAACCAAGAACTGGGAACGTATGAGGAGGCCCTCATCAGCTCTCATCTTCGCTCTTTGGGTCTTTTTTCTTTCCTCTCTGCGCACTCGGTTTCTCATTACCTCCCCAGTTCGTATGGTCAAACACAATTACCTCATAGCTCCCAAGTTTGTGCGTTATGGAGCAGTGACTCCCTCCTTGGGTGTAAATGACAATCCCCAAATCTGGCAGGAAGAATGTGATTGGTCTAGGTAGGGTCAGTGTCACACAGCACAAACATAAGTCCATCTCTGAGGATAAAGAAGAGAAATGACTGGGGAAAAGGCCCAGAGAAATGGGATTGCTGGCTCATAAGCTGGAAAGCCAACCAAAAAGGCACTACAATAAAAAGTTGGAATTGATTCAGTTAAGTGTGGTACTGAACTCTGTCTTCAAGTGTCATAAGGCTTCCTCAGAGGAGTTAACATACTTCATTAATAATAAAAATTTTCATTTATTAATTGGGAGGTTGTTCTTTGCTAGCCACTATGCATTTTTTATATATATGCATAATTTGCACATACAAAGGGCAGCTGGTCTGCACGTGAACAAAGAAAAAGGTACATATTTTTTTACAAAGTTTTAATTTTTATTGTTTATTTTTTCAGATTCAAACTAACTTTTAATAGTCGGTTATCCCTGCTTCCAGGTGATTTAGCACAATCCCCTCTTCATTCTAAAGACTTTTTCCATTGTCAAACACTCAGGAAGGCCCATCCTGAAGTGCATGGTTTGGGCAGTTTTGTGATGAAACTAATCTGTGGGACCATCGAGCAAGTCTGTGCTCACCAAGTGGTCACTTCCCAGGGGACCCCCTGTGTGCACAGAACCACAAGATACACTGCTTCCTCCCATGATCACTGGGAGAAGCGTTTCTGACTTACCAGGTTCTTCACAGCGGCCTTCACATCCTTGTTTCTGAGGCTGTAGATGATGGGGTTGAGCATGGAGGTCAGCACTCCACAGATGAGGGGGATGAGCTTGTCTGAAACATCCTGCTTGTCTGCTCCCAGAGAGTCCTTTGATTTGGGCTTCCCATCCATGAATAGGATGGTTCTGTAGAAGACGACCACCACATCAAGGTGGGCAGAGCAGGTGGAAAAGGCCTTTCGCCGGCCCTCAGCTGAGAGGATCCTCAGGTTGGTGGTGAGGATGAAGATGTGGGAGACAAAGATAAGCAGAACTGCGACTCCCAGGAAGATCGCATTGGCCACCCCCATACTGATCACACTGATAGCGATGTCAGCACAGGCCAACTTCAGAACTGCCAGGATCTCACATATGAAGTGGTTGATGATGTTGTCCCCACAGAAGGGCAATTGTACTGCAAGAGAGATCTGCACCAAGGAGTTCGCTCCACCAACCACCCAGAAACTGGCAGCCATGGGCACACAGGCAGCCTTGCTCACGACCATGGGGTATCTAAGGGCGTTGCAGATGGCCACATAGCAATCAAATGCCGTCATACCCAGAGTCACACACTCTGTGGCTCCCACGGAAAAGGAGAGAAACGTTTGCACAGCACAGCCTGAGAAGGAGATGGTTTTCCTGACACACAAAGCTTTGTCTTGGCCAATTAAAACCCAACTACCCCCAGGATGGTCTGCCTGAGGCTTCTCCAGGCCGTGAGGAGAAATCAGGAGAAACATTTTCAGCAAATCTCAACTCTCCATGCCCCGAGCCCCCCACACTGTGTTAGTGAGAAGTCAGCCCAGTGCTCTCACATGTGACTGACAGATGAGCAGCGTCGGCATCCCCCAGGGACTAGTTAGTGATGCAGATTCCCAGGCCCTCCCTGGACCTACAGACTCAGAATCTTGGGAGGTGGAGCCCAGCCTTCCGTGCGTGCTGTCTGTGTGCGTGTGTTTAATCAGAGTTTTAACAAGTCCTCCAGAGGACTCTCATGTGCTAATGTCTGAGAAGCATTGGTCTACTTAGACCCTTTCTACGACTAGGATCCCAGTTATTTCTTTTAAGGAATCTAAGAGGAGGGAGGGTATATTTCAATGGTTGATCTGAGCAGCTGCCTATAATTCCTCTACTCTGGAGTCGGCGCCTCTTTCAGTCCCTGCTCGCCCCTAACCTCTGATCTTTGACCCTTGACCACACCCCTGCCAACCTCTAGGTCACTGGTCTCTGGGGCCTTTCTCTCTTTCCTGCCAGCAGGAAACTTCCCTCCCATCCTCAAGATCCACTTTCTTAGGGAGTTCTCACAACAGAGCGGATGGGCCCTTGTGGGCAGAGGTCAAGGACACCCAGTCGATATCATGAATTTGCATTTCATGGGGCCTCTGACAGTCTCACATGGTAGTCCAGTTAGAGCTGTGTCTAGAGACAGCACAGCAGTGCCAGCATCTCCAGGGGTGCAGCCACTCTCTCGAAGCGATGAGTCTCCTTCTCAGACATCGCCCACCTCTACCTGGATGTTCCTCAAACATACCATGTCCCAAATTGAATTCATCTTCTCCTCTAAAACCAGCAACTAGGTCAATATTCTCTACTTCAGTGGTATACCATCATCCACCCATCATCTGAGCTGGAAATATTGACTCTACCCTGCTTCCTGCCTGCTGTATCCAACCAACTCTAATATTGTATTTTGTATCTACCCACCATTTCTTTAATCGCCCATCTTCACCAGCCCTCAACCACTTCCCCAGTTTTTATCTTCACTTGCAGGAAGTGTTTCCCTATCTCTTCAGTTCTTGTACCCCTGCCCCCAATCTTCCCTCCACAGTGTGCCCAGAAGGATCAACCTAAGACGCAAATCTGATCATGTCAGACCTTTACTTAAAACCCCTAAGTGCCTCCTCATCCCCTACAGGAGAAAGTCCTAACCCCTTAGGATGCCCCCAAGACCAGCACAGAGCTGGCCCCTGCCTTCCTCCCCATCAGCAGCACCTGCCCCTTATGCTCCAGCAACACTGCTCTGCGGGTCACTCCCCACCCCTCTGTTCATGCAGCCCCTCCTCGCTGGGATGATTCCCACACCCTTTCATCAGGCAAATTGCCGCTCATCCATTCCAGTGCTGTGCTGGTAGAGTTTAACAACTGGATCTCCAGGTTGAAAAAAGCCCTGATCTGGAGCATTTGCTGATTTCTGTGGTGTAAACACTCCCACAATGGCCAATTTCAAGCTACCATTGAAGTCACTGAATGGGAGTTGGGAGGTGATGTGCACGACTGGTAAGGCAGCTCCAGCACACCAGGGACCAAGGATCACCTCCTCCAGCAGTCTGGCCCCTGCCTCCCTCTGGGCTTTCATGACAGTGTGGGCATTCCCCTGTCCTGGCTTCCTGCCTTGTGTGGTAGTTAACTTTTCATGTGCCTCTCCCTTGCCTCGAGAGGGTGCACTCCGGAAGGCAGAGACCCTGGTTACACTGCACATTTCCGCCTTCTCTGCACCACACACTCAATCATCACTTCTGAATAAAGGAATATACCCATTCTCTGCACCCATCCCTGCTCTGGGTCATATTCTGTCATGACTCCCCTGAAGTCCAGGAGCATATGCACAGATGACAGGATGCTGATACGCCGTGACTTATACAGATGCCGAGTAAGGACCGAGAAACAAGACAGCAGTTGAGGACCGAGGGAGGGGTGGGGAGGGGAGGGAAGGCATGGGGGGAGGGTAGAGAGAGCAGCAGGGCAGGGGAGGGCCCAGGGAGGGGTTGGGGAGGGGCGGGATGGGGCGGGGCGGGGCAGGGCCGGGGTTGGGGGGAGGAGGGAGGGCGGAGGGCGGGCAGAGCAGGTTGTCTCAAGAGGTCTAATTCGGGGAGTTAAAAACTTAGAGGGAGAGTATGTCTTTCAGTCTGGCCCCGCAAAACCACTGCATAAGCACAGACTTGGGGTGATGGGGCTTGGCACAGCACAGGAAAAAAGACTTGGTGTTCTGAGTGGGTTACTGACCAGCAGGCTGTTGGACTGTTGAAGGGATTATGATGTTCAGAGAGACAGAAGGAAGGGAGGAAGGAAGGAAGGAAGGGAGGGAGGGAGGGAGGGAGGGAGGAAGGAAAACATGAGGGAAGGAGAGAGGCAGCAGGCGGCAAACCTCCTCCAGTGCCTTGTGCATAATTGGATCTTGGGGATGTTATCCCAGAAGAATACAGTGTCTAAACAGAGTACCACTCACTTTCCAAACTTTAAATGACTTCAGGGACTAAAATGGTCCTGAAGAACAAGCTGGGATTTAAATTACCTTCTAAGAGCAATGGCCAGTCCCTCGGAGACTGTGCCCTGAGCGCACAAAGCAGGTGGAGGGGAGAGGACCGCTGGGCCCTTCACCTGTCACATTCTGAACCCTCCTGGCACCTCAGACTGAGAGTCACTATTTCTGACGTGTGTCCTCTTCCCAACCCTTAGGAAATGGATCATTCTTGCTCATCATGTTTCTCATACAGGTAAGTCCAGGTTTTGATCACACCAAAATTTTCGTTGTCACAGCTACATTTCTGCCATCAGACTTGATTAGAGTGGAATGGGGGCTTGAGAAGGGGAGATAGGAAGCCCTGCCATTGCTACGACGTTCTTCTCACGGGTCAAGTAGATCCATCAAACCGCAAGAGTCTCCAAGATCTCTGGCCTCGCCCACTTTGTGCTGAGGGGAAAGGGCTTGCCCGGGGCCACGCAGCTCGTAGTCTTCCCCTGCAGCTTTCCCTCCTCGGTTAAAACTGGGGGCTCTTTCTCCTTCTGAAGTTACGAATCCCAAGTCCAGCAATAATAATGAGCCATGTTTCTGGTTGTGATGACGCGGAGGGATAATTTTCTTCACATGATCCAGGTTCTTGGGAGAGGCTGGAGGGCTGGCTGACACAGAATGACAACCCCGCCGGGGCTGCTCCAGCACACACACCACAGGCAGCCGTGTGTGCCAGGCACCTGAGCCATCCCTAAGCTGGGGGCGGTTCTCAGTACTGACCAGCCTTTGTAGCCAATTCCTGGATGGTACATTTGCTTCTGAGAGATGGATCAATTTTTTTAAGGCCCTGGGAGAAAAGGGGAGACTGATCCTTGTTTATCTTCATGCTGAAGCCAAGCTATTTGTAGATATTTGGAGGGGGGTCTGGGGAGGAGGGATTCAAGTTGCAAAGGAGCAGATTTCAGCTCAGTATCGGAGGGGAACTACATTAAAGTGCAGTGAGCCTGGCTAGGAGGCTCATCACAGCACCGCACATCCCTCAGGGAGTCAGGTCCAGGCGGGGGCACCGTGAGAAGGGCAGGAAGGGGCTTTCTATGGTGGAAAGGGAGCCAATTGCCAAATAGACCCTAAGGCCTGTTGTCAGTAGCCTTAGAACGATTATTAGGGATGATGATGGTGGTGATGTAATTACTTGTCTCCATGACTATTCTGCATCCTCACCATGTCCACCCCTCCTCCCCCATCCCCATTAGACTTTGAGTCAGGGGTTCTGCCCCTCATTGCTGTGTTCCTAGCACCTAGAATTATACCCATCCCAGAGCAGACGCTCAATAAATGTCTGCCCAGCTGACCTGAATTATGACGGCACTGACTCGGTAACAGCTCTAATGCTGGGCACCAGCAGAGGAGCGGCTCAGAGCTCCCCAGGCACAACCGAGGAAGGGCTGATTATTGAAAGATAGGTCTCTGGGACGAGAATTTCAGATACAGGGCAAATGAAACTGAATGCCCAACACCCTCACGGTTGCCAACAAGTTTTTTACTGGTCCAGAATAACTCCCGGTTCGGGGAACACTTAGAAGTCTGAGGAGAGATTTAAGCTTCCCAGCAGGAAGCGCTGGCAGAGCAGGACTGTGGGCAGAGTCTCAGAGAAGCCAGCGCCTCTGGTGCAGGCAGGTGGAGGGTGAAGAGGAGATATTCAGCCAGAACTCTCCTTCCACGTGGCCACAGTACACAAGCGGCGCACGAGCTGCCCCAAGGTACCAAAGGATCACAGGCTGCTAAGACCTTGGCACTGCAGTCGGCCAATTCTCTCAGGAGGTGACGCCAGGGCACAGGAGCCCTTGGCTCCCACCTGCCCCGAGGACAGGGATGCTCGAGTTCCTGTTGGTTTTCATTTATGTTGTCTTGACTCCTGCGTGCCATATGCTTTTTTAATGTGTTCCAGATGTCGTATTTGCGAAATTATTTGTAGAAATGATTTACAGACTGGGGTGAGGTCACCTTCCTTCAGAGTGGATTTGTGTTTGCTTCTGTTAGATATTGGGGAGCACGGGAAATCTGAGACTGCCACAATCGACTCTTGGGGCTTGAGAAGGCTTGAAGGTGAGCTCCAGCGCCTGGAAATGCATGTTTCCTCCCGATTCACTCTTATTCCTGGGGCGCTGCCTTTGGGGTCCCCTCCCAAAGGGAGGAGGTTTGGTTAGGGGCACCTTTGCAGTGGCCTTGCTCCCCACCTCCAGGCTGTCTGTAGTGCTTCTTGGACTCTCAGTGCCACCTCCAGAAGCTGCAAATGCCCCAGTGGAAACCTACCTTCAAATGCTGCTCTTCTTCTCCGAGTCCCTCTTATTCCCAGAATCGTGACCCTATGATTCCTCGTTGTCTTATTACCTTGCAAATGCATTACACAAATGTTTTATATAGTTTGTCCAGTTTTTCTAATTGTCATCTGCAGGAGAGTTAGTCCAAATTAACTCGTTCTTTCTTCCTGGAAGCAGAAGTTGAATA